GTTAGCCAGTTCACGGCTTCAGCATCCAGCTCACATGTCGTCTCCACTTATTTAATTGCACGAACACCCACATGTGGTGACCCCGATGCTCTTGGATGTTTCCAGAATTTTTTGTCGTTATTGAGGAAGACGAAATGACGGCCTATACGGTTGCACTCAAGTTACCCGAGTTTTGGGAGCAGCAAGCCGCGGCATGGTTTGCACAGGTGCAGAGGCGCAGTTCGCTCTGCGTGACATCACTGCGGATGACACAAAGTATTACTACGTCGTAGCTTCAGCCTTTTAAGTGAACCCCCGGAGAGGGACAAGTATGGCACCCTTAAAACTTACCTGTTGGGAACTTTTGGGTTGACTGAATCAGAGCGTGCGAGGCAGCTTCTTTCATTACCAGGACTGGGTGATGCAAAGCCCTCTGAGCTTATGGATCACATGTTGACATTGTTAGGTGAACATAAGCCCTACTTTATATTCAAGGAGCTGTTTCTTCGACAAATGACAGAACAAGTCCGCACAGCTTTGGCTGGCACGACGATTACAAACTTACTGGCTAAAGCTGGCTAAAATGGCGGACAGCTGCACAGAGTTGTGCTATACCAACATCTTTCAACGCCTCCATTAATCCGCTGGTTGGAGCGGCTAATCGGGCTGCACAAGCACCAACACGGCGAACCGACTCTGGATTTTGTTTTTATCACGCTCGTTTTGGAGACAGGGCCAGGAAATGTTGTTTGCCATGTAATTTCCGTGGTAAGAGTACCACACAGTCTGTGAATGCTGTGGACAGTGGACATACTGGCTGCCTTCTCTTCATTACGGATGATATATTGGGACGAGATTTTCTCTGTGACACTGGGGCTCAAGTGAGCGTACTGCCAGCGACTCCTTTCGATGCGCGTTCTGAACTTAAGAAACCCTTGCTGGAGGCTGCTAACGGCAGCAAAATCCCAACATACGGTAAGTGCCAGGTTAAGTTGTGTTTTAACGGGCACCGTTTCACTTGGGATTTTGTTGTGGCTAAGGTAGCTCGTCCTATGCTGGGGGCTGATTTCCTGTGCACACAGTTTGTTGGTTGATGTGCAGAACCGCCGTTTAGTCAATGCCAAAGATTTCTATTCTTTTCCATGTGCGCTCAGTGTTTTTTCGACAACAACCTTGTCAAACACTTCCGAGCCTAGCTGCGAATTTTTGCGCATGCTCACTGAGTTTTCTGACATAACTCAGTAAATTTTTTTATACAGCAATACCAAAGCATGGTGTGGAGCATCACATTTCTACTATAGGTCCACCCGTGTATGCTCGCGCTCGCCATCTTGACTCATCGAAATTAGCTGCTGCTAAAGCTGTGTTTGCGTACATGGAAGAGTTAGGCATTGTATGACGTTCTAATAGTCCTTGGGCTTCTCCTTTGCACATGGTGCCTAAGTCAGATGGTAGTTACAGTCTGTGTGGTGATTATCGCAGACTCAATGATGTCACAATTCCCGATCGCTACCCTGTTCCGCATATTCAAGATTTTTCGGTGCGGCTAGCTGGAAAAACTATTTTTTCCAAGGTAGACCTTGTGCGAGGGTACCACCAAGTACCAGTCCACCCGGACGACTGCCGTTATCACTCCTTTTGGGTTGTTTGAGTTTTTGCGAATGCCATTCAGCCTGAAAAATGCCACTCAGACTTTTCAGAGGCTCATGGATTCTGTGTTACAGGGTATGGACTTTCGTTTTGTCTACCTGGATGACATTTTGGTTGCAAGCACATCCAAGGAAGAACATTTGTCTCATCTCCGTTCGCTTTTCGACCGCCTTAGTGCTCACGGCCTTATCATTAATCCCACCAAGTGTCAATTCGGCCTTTCGTCTATCAATTTTTTTGGGACACAGAATTACGAGTGCCGGCGCGTTCCCGTTGCCTTCACGGGTAGCTGCGGCTAAGGGTTTTCCATTGCCGCCTACAATTAAAGCTCTCCAAGAATTCCTGGGAATGGTTAATTTCTATCACAGATTTATTCCCAAAGCAGCTGAGCTTATGGTTCCCTCTATAGGAGCCCTTAAAAGCGGTACCCCTCGTCACATACTTAAGTGTTCCGATGTCTCCAAGAATTCCTGGGAATGGTTAATTTCTATCACAGATTTATTCTCAAAGCAGCTGAGCTTATGTGTCCCCTCTATAGGGCCCTTAAAAGCAGTACTCCTTGTCACATACTCAAGTGGTCCGATGAAATGATTGGAGCTTTTGACAGCACTAAACAGGCTCTAGCAGAGGCTGCCATGTTGGTGCATCCACTTCCAGACAGTCCAATCGCTATTACTGCAGATTCATCTGATTTTGCGGTTGGGGCTGTCCTGGAACAGTTGGTACATGGGCATTGGCACCCACTTGCATTCTTTAGCCGCCAACTTCGTCCTAATGAACAAAAATACAGTACGTTCGATCAGGAGTTGCATTGACCATTGCATTGAACATTAACCTTGTTGGTCCTCTTCCACTGTCTCAGGGGTATGCTCACCTGCTCATGATGGTGGATCGGACTACTAGGTGGCCAGAAGTGGTTCCCTTGGTGTCAACGTCAACTGCAGACATTGCTCAAGCTTTTATTGGCACCTGGATCGCCAGATTCGGCACCCCATTGGATATCTCCTCAGACCGTGGTTTCCAGTTCACGTCTGAGCTTTGGGCTGCTGTCGCGCATAGTCTGGGCATTAAGCTTCATCACACTACAGCTTATCACCCACAAGCGAATGGTCTGTGTGAACGTTTTCACTGATCCATGAAGTCTGCACTGAGAGCTGCCTTGAAGGATGACAACTGGTATGACCGGCTCCCATGGGTGTTGCTGGGACTTCGTACGGCACCTAAGGAGGATTTCCTTGCTTGTTCAGCGGAACTGGTTTACGGGATTTCCTTGCTTGTTCAGCGGAACTGGTTTACGGGAAGACACTTAAGGTGCCTGGTGACTTTGTTCCTGATACCGACAACCCGTGGTCTGGCCCACCTAACTGTCCCACCCTGCGCAGCCATGTCTCCACTTTCGTTCCGGTGCCCACCTCTCAGCACGGCCTTCACAAGACTTGGGTTCCAAGTAGAGACCTGCACTGGACAGATTTTTCAGTCCTGCTCCCGCCCGCTCCCGCAGAAAATTATCTTATCTGGGCCTTCTCCCGCCCACGACATTCATGTTTTGAATGTCAAAAGCCCGCATAAAAGTAATCTATATAGATTTTTTTTTCAGCACATGAAAGAAATTTACATTAAATGGTTCTGTAACATCTCCTAAGATCCACAACATCCCAGCATAAATGCTCCCGATAACATATTTGCTATTTAGGCTAAGCATCAACATTCACAAACCACTGTTATTTTTAACAGAAAAGCAAGCATGGGCTGATGCATGCATGGTTTGGCATGGCAGAATGCGAGCAGCGCTTCCTTTTATTATCACTAAAAGCTGACATCTCAGTTCATCGTGATCTCATAAAACTCTGTTATAACACAGTGAACATATGCACAATGAATCTTTCACAATGTCTACACTTCATGTGTTAAAATTAGATGATTCGTGAGCACACAATTTCAGCACTGCGGTGAGTGGATTCTAACTTAAAGGGTTAGTTCACCTAGAAATGAAAATTAGGCTGCGTTTTACTCACCCCCGAGGCATCGTAGGTGTATATGACTTTCTTCTTTCAGACGAATGCAGTCGGAGTTATATTAAAAATTGGCTTTGATCTTTCAAGCTCTATCATTGCAGTCAGCGGGTGTTCTCAGAAGTGACGAACGCAGAAGCGCAGCGGAGAGATCAAAACAAAACAACGGTCAAGAATTAGAAGTACAAAACGAGGATTTTTAAAGAAGAATGTCAGAGGATTTCGATATAAAGTAAGGAAACTTTGCTTCCTTTGATCCTGTAAACAAACGTTGGTTTTCACGAGACTCACCGGCACACGCGCAACGCTGACCTCATACGTCATGCTCCCGGAACTGCTTCTGTGTACAACTGTTGGCGCAAGCTAGATTAAAGTGATTATTACATTTTGAATATGGATATTTTTCTTACAAAAACGCATCGATTCGCTACAGGAGGCCTTTGTTCACCCCCCAGAGCCGTGTGAGACATTTGTTATCATTGTGATGTTATTAGTTGTTCTTTTTGCTTTTGTGCAACATGTAAATAACTATTTATATGTTTTAGATATTTTATGTTTAGATAATTTCTATTTTGCGGGATTCCCACGAATCATTTTATTCTCCCACATCCTGCAACCACACGAGTCTCTTCCCACCCACACTCGCCCATCAAGAGTTGTCCTGCGCCGCACCCTGTTGCATTGTGTTCTGGGGGTCCCATGGTACTCCCGCGGGAGTGCAAGTCTCTAGTTCCCAGCGATTTGTTGTCTGCTAAATTTGTGTTCGTTTGACATGACGAGCACAGAGGGCCATTGAAACCTCCATATGATGGACCGTACCGGGTTCTGGAATCCTTGGACAAGACATTCGTTATTGATGTAGGAGGGAGGTCGGAGTGTGTCTCAATTGATCGGCTTAAACCAGCTCACAGAGACCTGGATCAGCCAGCTGAGGTGGCCATGGCACCCCGACGTGGACAACCTGCCTCTGTCAACCCGTCTGGCAAGTTTGTTATTCGAGCTTCTCCTGCTGATAGCTCATTGCAGGTGACCCGTACAAAAGCGGGATGCAGCATTCGTGCTCCTGACAAACTCCTCATCCTGTCCATAGCTGAAGTTGGCTGATAGCAAATAAATAATACAACCTCTTGTAATGAAAAAACACCACAGCTCTCAAACACCAGAGTCTTCCTAACCAGGAACAATCAAAAATAGTCCAGACTATGGTCTCACCTCGAAAAGAACTTTAAATCCATATTCAAACTGGACCATGATGTGATAACCTCACCAATAAAGAGTCCTTCTAAAATGCATACAAATACACTGTCTTAAGTTCTTAGCATCAATCCAAACATAGGCCATACATACATGTAACATCTCTGCAAAACACATCAGCAATGTACACTTTTAAACAACTCGTGTAGACTGGGCTTGAAATGACACATTTCCCATGCTGGCTACTGCTGCTTGCTATTGCTAACTCTCTCTACCACATGGCTTTACTTAAGGAAACCTAAAACATCCTAGCACCCCTAGTGGTAAGGAAGAAAACTACCCACAAAATTCTTATTAACAGACTCATGTCTGGCCCACACTGGGCCATCATTGGATTAATGTGGGCAGTCCCATATAGTGGGCTGCTCACAGAGAGCCTGCGGTGAGCCCAAACCTGTGGGCCTCACCTGGGCAAGCCCACACTGGGCCTGTTTAGTAGGGCCCTAACCCTAGCCCACTGTGCCCGCAAAAAGCAAGCATGGGCCCCGCAAGGACATGTTTGCAGGGTTGCTAGACAGTCCAAGTCTTCAGGGAAGGTATCTTGTCAGGATTTTCTTAGAATAGCTGTTTCTGCCAATTTGTAGTCATCAGCTGTCAGATTTCTCTGTTTCCCAGCCCCCCGTGGCGTAAAAGCACAGCTGCCTCAATTAAATCTTTGAAACTGTTTTACTGATTTGTATGATGGCAAATCAATGCCATTAATGACTGAGCGCACCACTGATGCTGTCACATGCAGTAAATTACTTCCGCGAGAGGAAAACAGATCTAGACGCCAGGAAACGAGAGCCCGCAAGCTCATTTCAAACCCTTGGCGCACGTGACATGTCCTCTGCGTGCAATACAAGCACTTGCGTGTGCATGATCATTCCCCACTTTTATTTTTGTCAGTCGTGGGGCGGGGCTTGCGGTTTTAATAGTTACCTCAAATGTCATTGGTTATTCCCCTTTTCCGGAAGTTAGTATTGGACGCCAGGGGCAAGTTCAAGCTCAAACACCGCACCGTTTTGCTACAGTTTCCGGTTTGAACGACATGTTTCCTGTAAACGGTGTGCAACGGTGTGCAACGGGGTTTGAGATGCGTTTTCTCTTGTTTGTTGGGTGTGTCTTTATTTAATGTAATTGAATGTATTGATCATAGAGTAGATCTTTTCCAGATATTTCATTAACAGGAAGTTTTCTGATTACTAGTGATTGCAGTCTTGTGATGATAAGAGATACACATATGAACCCTTTTTACAGACTGTAATGGTGCACAGACACACACACATACACATACATATATATATATATATATATATATATATGTATACTGTATATGTATATATATAAAGCTATAGGAATGACAGTAAAGTTTTCAAAAAATGGTTTATCTTTAATCTTGTAAATAGATACGTCGTAATATTTGAAGGTTTGTTTAGTCTGTGTTCATATAAAACACAGGTTTCACCATGTTTGCATTTGATTTACAGTGTTACTAGTCATCTGCTATCAAGATCAGTCCATTCACTATGATGTATATGAAAATTGATTCCTGTTTATTGAAAAGAAGCTTGTAATACATTCAATTCCAATGTATTTACTTATGTTCTTTTTGTTGCATTATTCGTTTTTTCCTTTGTCTGTTTATTGAAAAGAAGCTTGCAATACATTCAATTCCAATGTATTTACTTATGTTCTTTTTGTTGCATTATTCTTTTTTTCCTTTGTATTTGCAGGTTGTGTACTTGAATGCAGCAAATAACCGCTCAGTTCAGGAAAGTAAAAGCATTTGAATTTTATTTCTGAAACTTTTCTCAGGGTCAAGGGAGACCAAGGAGTGGAGGATGTACATATTGCCAGGTTCATGTTTTCTTCAAGAGGCACTGACCAACATAGTTTCATATCTGGTAAAAGTGTCCATAATCAAAGATAAAGTGCAGTTGTCTGAAATTTAATTTAGTAACTTTAGTAATCTATAGGTAGCTTTTCAATGTCACTTTTAAGTAACAAAATATCTTACAATTATTAATAAATAACTATATTTATTTATATATAATAAACCTATATATATTTCCATTTTTACGGTGTTTCTAATAGGATTGAATTCATTTGGTGTGATGTCAGAATCATGGTGACCAACAAGTACTCAGACATGCTGCACTTGCTGGAGGCAGAAGGATTGCTAGACTTATCAGTGGTTGAGGACCTTTTCAGTGTGCAATACACTTTTCTCCCAAGAATTCAGGCAGACTTGGACACATTTGCAGAAGCCTGGAATCTTCATGCACTCTCCTCAGAAGGCAATCGAAGTTCAGAGCAGCTGTGGCAAATTGGACTGATACACACAAAATGTACCAATCAGAGAGATATGAGGTATGGAGACCCTGTTTTAGTTACTCTGTCACCACACTGCTGTTTATGCATTAGTCTTAAGTGGATTTTTAACTATGTATTTAACTGCTAAATCATTAGGACATTAAAGAGCCAGATCTATATGGTGACATAGCAGCTTCTTATGATGCCTGTGAAGATTTACATTTACATTTAGTCATTTAGCAGATGATTTTAAAAAGCGAGTTACAGATGAGGACACTGGAAGCAATAAAAATCAACAAAAGAGCAATGATATGCAAGTGCTATGACAAGTCTCAGTTAGCTTAATGCAGTACACGTAGCAAGGTTTTTTTATTTAATTAATAAAAACAAAACAGATAGAATAGAAAAAGAACAAGCTAGTGTTAGAGGCCTTTTTTGCTTTTTGTTAATTGCAGAGGTGTAAAGAGTACCTAAAAACCATACTTGAGTAAAAGTACAGATACTTTACAGTGAAAATTACTCCACTACACGTTACAAGTCACCAATTCCAAAACAACTTGAGTACCTGATTTTAACAGTACTTAAGTATTTTACTTATACTAAACATAGGCTCAAAGATGCACTAATCAAAGAGACATGCCAGTCAAATGCTGTAACATTGTGGAGAAGCTGGGGAAAACAGGCAGAGGCAAGGATCTATGTGCAGGTATTTAATGGAAAAACTAGAACAAACAATAAGCCAAAAACCAAAGAGAACAAAGAACAGAATGACTGGCAAACAGACAACCATTACATTCAACAATTCACAAGGAACTAAAGAAAAACTTGGGCTATATAAACGCACAGGGGGCTAACAAGCTTAACAAGATAAGACACCTGGGGAGACTAGTCAAGGGGAACCAATGAACAAACAGACTACAAACTGACTACAAACACCACGGGAGACAGGAAGTGACATAAAAGTCCAAGGCAAGGCACACGCACAAGATGCAGTACTTTCAGTGACCTGTAATAGGCAATATCACATCTTTTGTAGCAGAAATAAACTGCTGCAGAAGAAAAAAAACTAGGTCCATGCTAAATGTAATGTGTAACTGCAACACTAATTTCAAATGTAGTGGAGTAAAGAGTACAGATACTCATTCAAAAATGTAGTGAAGTAAAGAGTAAAAGTTGCTAATATCTTTGATACACAGTACAACTACAAAGTATCCGAAAAGATACTCAAGTACAGTAACTAATTACATTTACTCCAATACTTTACACATATGGTTAATTGTATAATAAATAAAAAGAAAACAAATAGATATAATACAAAAAGAGAAGCTAGTAGCTAGAAGCTAGATTTCAGAGCTGTTGTTCAAGAATTTGAATCCCCATTGAGTTTGGATGGGTTGAGGGCACTCAAACATCTGCTGAATCCAACTGATCCTAATTTCCCTGTCAAAGAACTGTATTTGCTTTGTCAGTTTTTTTTTTTCGACAAATATGGGGTAAATAAAGAAGAAGAAAAAATCACTGCTATGTCCCAGTCTAGATATGGTTATTTGATGTCCTGAAGATTTAGCAGTTAAAAACATCATTAAAAATCCACTTAGATTAATACATAAACAGCAGTGTGGTGAAAGGGAAACTAAAACAGGGTCACTATACGTCATATCTCTTTACCTTTGATTATGGACACTTTTACCAGATATGAAATTATGTTGGTCAGTGCCTCTTGAAGAAAACATGAACCTGGCCATCTGTACATCCTCCACTCCTTGTTCTCCCTTGACCCTGATTTAAAGAAAATAAAAATACGTTTCCAGAAATAAAATTCAAATGCTTTTTCTTTACTGTACTTGCCTTGACAGTATGCCAAATTTCTGGATTGCTTCTGAGAAGAATTGGTATGATGTCGAGGCCCAGTTGTTATTTGCTGCATTCAAGTACACAACCTGCAGATACAAAGGAAAAAAGAAGAACAAAAAGAACATAAATAAATACATTGGAACTGAATGTATTACAAGCTTCTTTTCCATAAACAGGAATCAATTTTCATATACATCATAGTGAATGGACTGATCTTGATAGCAGATGACTAGTAAGACTGTAAGGCCTAATCCCAATTCTATTTTATACCCCTTCCCCTACCCCTCTGCCTATCCCTTCCCCTTGTCCCTTGAAACAGGTGAATGGACTGATCTTGATAGCAGATGACTAGTAAGACTGTAAGGCCTAATCCCAATTCTATTTTATACCCCTTCCCCTACCCCTCTGCCTATCCCTTCCCCTTGTCCCTTGAAACAGAGTGTCAAGGGGTAGGGGTGAAAATATTCCCCTAAGAATTGGGACACCACTACTATACCGTTACACATCATCATACGTCATTTAGCTCCTACAATAAACACCTATACTGGTATGCATTAGAGCCTTTAATTACTGTTCTATATTAATGCGCTGCTTACTGACACACACACACACACACACATCGGAGGTCGTGCAGCTCACACATCCAGGAGCAAAGAAACTTGTCAACGCTGCCTCATGACTTTTATTAATAGCAGTTTAAATACTGAATCGCTACATTATATTATCCCGCAACGACAGGATAAAATCGCTGTTTTTGAAGTAAACTCACTCATTGTAAAGAGAGACGCACAGACACGCGTACACGCAATTTCCATCTCTCTCTCTCTCTCTCTCTCAATTCAGTTCAGTTCAGTTCAATTCAATTCAATTCAATTCAATATGTGCTTTATTGGCATGACAATTGTTACAATGTATTGCCAAAGCATAGTGTTTACATTGAATCTATAACAGATGCATTAAAAAAATAATAATAATTATAAAATAATAATAATAATAATAATAATAAAAAAAATACATGCATGTGTATATATAATTAAAATAGAACAAATCAACATTTATTATTCTATGAACAATTTGATCTTCTTTTTCACCTAATAAATATTGAAGTTGTGTTTTATTGTTTAACATTTTGAAGTCAGGGAAAAGTACTTCAAATTTTGGATAAAATGTCTTTCTAATGTTTTGATAGTTAGGGTAGCTGGTGAGGAAGTCTTGATCGGTCTCCACTTCCCCATGATTACAGTATGGGCAGATGCGGCTCTCTTTGGTCAGCCAGTGCTGTTGATATCTGCCTGTCTCTATAGTCAGAGTATGATTGCTCAATCTGTACCTCATCATTTGTCTTAATTTACAGTCTTTCACTGTACTCAGATATTCTGCAGTTGTGTAATCTCTATTTAGGGCCAAATAACATTCACGTTTACTTTTGTTTTTCTAGTTGTTTCAGTCCAATAAGTTAGATAATTTTCTTTTTGTGCTTCTATATTTGGTTGGGCCGAATTTTGTGGATGAATATTTCAGTGTCCTGATGCTGGCTGTTGATAGTCATGTTAGTTTGTTTATGCAGCTTCAGGACCATCTGAATCAGGGGACTTTTTTCAGTGTTCACTTCATGGATTTTAAGGCCCTTAAAATGGTAAGAGTTGGGGTCACTCATTTTTAGGTGTTTCCAAAATGTGATGGCTCGTTTCTCAGTGCGCATTAGTAGAGGGTATTGGCCTAATTCTGCCCTGCATGCGTTGTTCGTGTGTTCCTCTCTGTACTCTGAGGATACTCTTACAGAACTCAGCATGCAGGGCTTCAATCGGATGTTGTGACACTATCGTGCAGTCTGTAATATGACATGACGTTAGCAAACTTTAGCGATTTTTGGCAAACATTTCTTTGAAAATCATGACCGTAAATATGAACTCACGATTGAATGTAACATAAAACAAATGATTACTTTTCATTAAAATCTTTATTAATGCCAAAAATGCTTACATTTATGTGT